AAATAAAATTGTACTTTTCTTTGCGAACTGAAACATCCAAAAGGTGTGAATTAATATTTGTAATGGTAACTTTAACAACTTGTATTACAACTACAGACCAGAGTTTTGGTGTGATTTAAAGACTGAGACATAACAAAACTTCAGTTGGACAGAGATTTCTCTCCTTACTGAATGTCTCCTGGCTACAGCCACACCTCTATTGAGTCAGGTAGAAGAGCTGCAGGTACAACAGGTTTCAACAGCTCTCTGACTGAGCTGCTGATTGAAAACAACACTCTAAAAGAGCAGAGATCTCTTCCATTTAGGTGAACAAGGCCGTTAACTGGATGAGATTATTTACAATTTGACATAAGAAGAGGACTTTCTATTTTCGTAAAACAAGATTAAAATGTAGTCAGAGTCAGAGCTACTAATCTGCCAAATATACAGACCCAGTCAGACTGAGCTGGATAAAAGATAAAGAGTCTGATTATGAACTTATTTTTTAGATCTGACTGCTCATTTCTGTGACAAGTTTGCTGTCTGGTGATTTGTAGTATTCTTTGGTTCTTAACCTTGCTAGGTTGGTCTTTCCACCAGTTGGTCCAGACTGAAATGTCTCAACAACAAAGTATTGGATAGATTCAAATTTGGTATAGATATACCAAATAGAATAGCACTCAGTTTGGTGATCCTGACTTTTCCTGGAGTGCCACCAGTAGGCCACGATTTTCACTTAATCTGTGAACATCTACTAGATGGGTGGACATGGGCTGCACGATATGGCAAAAAAATAGAAAAACCCTATTGTGATTATTTTGATTAGTGGGAATGAGCATTTTTGCATCACAATAGAAAGAAATCACTGTGTACGTAAATGTCTTGCATTAAAAACCTTATATCCCTGTCAGTGTTTTTATATATATATATATATATATATATATATATATATATAAAATTCAAATTAATTAATTAAAATAATATTTTTGTTTTTCTTTTAGCCAAGACACTACAGCCAGAACTCAGAAATGTTTATGTATGTTATCCAAGCAGCAGACAAACTTCGATGTTGAGAAAAAGTTGCCATTTAATTTACGATACAATTTTGTACAGTTTAGACAGAAATTTATCTCAAAAGAATAACTCTTAGAAAAACCTGAGTTCATGTATATTCAGGCAGAGACCAGCAGGTTCAGAAGCTAGACTCTGCCCCTTCCCGCTTAGTGTCTGTTGTCTATGGGTCATTATTAACTGACACTTGCCATAAACAGAAGTTGTTGGACAGGAATCAGCTTTGAAGGAGGCATGCTATGACAGGACAACAGAGAGTCTGAGCCCCACCTCTACAATGTCCTGAGTGAGCACGTCCAATGAGACAAAACATGAGGAGCACACCTTGGAAAAACACACACTTTGCTTTAACTGGCCAGCATACACAACACTCAACCACTCATGTCACTTACAATTATCTGTCATTATGTAATTCATAGTTCCAGTGTGCCATCTGTCTGTACAATCTGAACCACACACTTAAGTAATGATCAAAAGACTCGACAAAATACTGAGCTGAATACAAGAAGTTTTTTCACTGTGAGTTTTACAGAAAAGTCATAAACCTGCACTGGATGTAAAATACATCTTACATCTCAAACATCCTGATAACAGCTCATTGGTACGAATCACAGAGTTTACTGCCCTTTAAGTAGTCTATATATAACGATACAGTACATCCTGGCATGTTGCCACATTGCAACACAACATCCGGCGATGTGGCCAATCACATACACATATTTCTATGTGATACCTTGCAATTATCACAATGAAAGTTTCAATTCAATCCAAAACTGCATCTGTTAGGCGCCCAGTTAGCTCAGTCAGTAGAACTGGCAGCCCATGTATCGAGGCTTAGTCCTTGCTGAAGCGGCCCAGGGTTCGAATCCGACCTGCGGCCC